TTCAAATAATTCATAAAGACTAAAAACCTAGAAAGGCCTAAAAAATTAGGATTGTAATGTGTTACCGGAGTCAATGGACAAAAACTATATTCTCCATTATATGAGTATCTAGCAGCTGTGAGAAAATTAAGATGAATGTCCACTAATTACTAACATAAATTCAGTTTTATAACTTACTAATATAATCAATGTAGAAGACAGAAGCCAATCAGGATCTAAACTATGAGCTATATTGTAAATATGAATGCACTTGGCTCCAATATATTTGAATATTACGAGACTAATTTTAGTACAAATTGACGTTAAGTTGACGTTTAAAATATAATGTATTCACCCCTAAGGATTTTCTCTATCTTGCCTGGCTAGTGTGGAATGAATAAAAAAATATCTTTTTACGAATTGTAATCCTACTAATTAAAGTGCTTTGTTTTATATGAATTTCGCGATTTTTAAAATTTAATTCTCGCAAAGCATAATAAAGCCGTTTTGTGGTTAAATTCGCTTTCTCCATCAAAGAGTTTATTAAGTAAATGTGATTTATGACCACTTTGACATGCTTCACAAATGTTCTGAAATACGCGTAAAAAATTAGTAGAATCTCTATTGATTTTCATATAGACAAAATGTACCTACAAGAATTATCAACAAAGTTTAATTAAGGATGTTTAATATGAGAACAGTAATGTCCGTTTGTCAGTAAAGAAATCAAGGTTCCCCTAAGATTAAAATTGAATAGAATATGATGGCTCAATTTTTAATCTGGCGTTTAAATGAGCCTATCGCCTAGGTGGTTCACTCATTCCAGCATAGTACGAAGGGATCAAAAGAACATACATATGAATAAATATATAGGAATAAAAATGTTTGAATAAGAGTAAAGAAAGTTGATAAGAGAACGAGAAGATTCCAAAGTAAGGAGAGGCAAAAATGGGCAAATACACTTTTGGAAAAGTTGGGATCAGGCCACTAACCGATTCCTTCGCGTGTCTTTCATGAACTCGCTGCAAATGGACAATAGGCGTTAATGCGGCTGCTAACAGGCTCTCTTTCTTAGAACATTGAGTGAGCTGCTGAGCCCTATCAGCTTGGTAAGACCTAATGTGATTGGGACTCCTGGAGCCGGAAATAGTAGTGGCTGTAAACTTCACAAGATTGGCAGTCTGGCCACTCGATGTGTCAATACTGAGTTCGGTGTCGCTGGATTGAGAACTAGACATAGCCAAAGAATCGTTCAGATGAAGAAGATGATCTCCACAACTTACGATATCCTCTTCAACCTCCTCCTCCCCGTCTGGACTATGACTTTCGCATTCCTCATCATCTTCACTATAAGCTTTGAGCTCTATCTCGCCTGACTGACCATTAATCAAGGCTCTCGCACTGGATTCACAAAGCTGTGGCTGGCTGGAGCTCGAATCTACCGAAGTGGCAGGTGTTGAAAAAAATTGAGCCAAAATAGCCTCAGCTGAGGCAAATATGCTTCCACTGCTGTTTCTGTCACCAGGACGGCCGGAACCTGGGAGGTGGGAAGAGCCATCGACTTCCTCAAGATCCGGCGAGTCGCTGGACGAGGACGACTGACTCAAAAGTGATTGAATTGTGGGCATGAGTGAGGAACCAAAGAAAGTGAACAGCTTTTGTGCTCTTATGTCGGACGCAGAGCAATCATCCTATAAAACAAAAAAAAGAAAATAAAGCAATCTGATAATGTTAGAATGAAAACAAATGGAAAATAAAGCAAGGATAGAGTACAGCTGATTTATGATTTGGGGGAAGCCTGTTTCCTTCTGAGTAAGAAATGCATGGCTCTAATTCTACCTGTCATGAGTATAATAGCAATAAAAGGAGGAAACTGGATAAGAACGTTGCGATGCATATCACAATAAATTTCAATTTGAAACTAAGCCTTCTCATTATTCAAATACGAGCAGAATCGCGGTCAACCCAAATAATGTCATAAATTATATCTTGGCAAACACAAATAATAATCGAAAATGCATAAATTATTCTCCAACCCCAAATATATCTGATGCAACGACTATCTTGTATGATGCAATTGACTCACTAAGTTGGTTTAAAGAGCTAAAGTAAGAGGTACCTTGTTTGAGTACATTTTCAGTACATAAAAGGTCTTTGAATGCGTAGGATGAAAAGCTAAGAAATAAAGAGACAAGTGAAGTTGATCCTCTGATCAAACGTGTGCTAAACAGTTGTGGTATCTCCTTTTCTGCCCTGGTCTATCCACATTTCCAATATCCTCCTATCACGCCTTCCCTGTCACAATTTTTACCGTGTGTATTTTGATGTAGTGTGGTGTGCTCCTTAGAGCGGCATTCATGAAAACCCTTCACACTTCCCACTGTCGTTCTCACCCCCTTTACCCTTGTGCTGGGAATGTTGATCAGAGTCTGTCATATTGTTATGTAGTCCTTCCCTGAGTCCTATCAGAGTCTCCCTGTTGCCCCATAGAATAGGTCTGCTATCTGCCTGTATTACACTCGACCCCTGTCTCCCCATCTGTGCTACTCGAGACGTTATTCGCCCACCCCTGTGTCTGGGTGACTAATTCGAGGCTAAAGCCTCTGAGTAAGTCTCTTGGTCATGCCTTTGCTACATGGACCGAGTCTCTTGTAAAACCTACCGTCAGCCAATTAGCTCCAATCGC